TATATTTAATTATTTTTAATTTTTTAATAATTTTATAGCTAGGTATAATAGTTAAGTTCATATAAATATGAAATTGATCCTCAAGTTTATAGTTTTATAAAACTTTTGCCTTTTTTACAGTGTTAACTTATTATGAATATTTGGTTTTTTTTCTTCCATTTTCTAAAAGATAACAAAAATCGATTTATTTTGTAAATGTGATATAATTTGTCATTGTGTCATAGAGTCTTAATAATAATTATAGAATAGTTAAGGATAAGAGAAGTAATAAATAAGAAAAATAGTTTATAATAGTAGTTGTAAAAAATACATATATAAATAGTAATAAATAGTTAGTTGATAATTACAAATGTACGAGTACTTGACTGTAAATTGCATTAAGTAGTAGTAGTAGTTGTGGTAGTTTTGTTTTCAAATCCAAATGACCAAAGAAAATACAGAGGAGCAAAAAGAGTAGAGTGTGCAAGAGAATTGTAATAAATCCTTCGTTGTTGTCTTAAAATTAATTAAGTACAGTGTTGTGTCAATTTTAAAACGCAAAAGAAGTTTTAGATTACGTGCGTAATAATAAAACAGAAGTCATTTCGTAGTTTCTTTTTTTCCTTTCTTTTCTTCATGAACTTTTCATACTAATTTGTGGAAATAAGAAAAAATGAACATTAAAAAAACGTAAAGTGAGAGAAGAAGAGGAGTAATTAGAGTGCTGGATAAGGAATTTTAAACTGCTAATGAATAAAATTGGTATTTTTGTGGTTGTAGTCGTATAAATGTAAAAAGTTTTGTAATTGAGCAATTTTCATTTTTTATTACTTTGGTTTGTATGTGGTTTATATTTATACAGATGTTTTGTTTTGTGATGTATTTTATTATTTAGCTGCCATTTTAAGAGGTTAAAAATAGCGTTTGTATAACAAGGAAGAAATTTAAACTTTTAAATAGTATAGAAATTGTAGAGTAGTTTAGATCAAGGCCGGCCTGCCAGGGAACATTTTTGGGAATACCAATGCCGGCAACGAATTTCTAAAGGAAATAAAAAACTAGTAAAAACATGGTTAAGATAAAGATCAAATTACAAAAACTAGGCTAGGAACAAATATTAAACCGAATGATGGTCATGATGATGACGATGACGAGATGAAAAAAAACATATTTAGTTTGAGTTTAAATGAGGCAGCTGACTGCATGCCCTGGTTGTATGCCTTTAGTAATTAATGATAAACCATTTGGTGTCTGGTCCAGCAATTTGACATTCACCTTCGATGTTGTTGCAACAGCAAACTGTATGAATTTACAAACATTGGCCTATATTGAATATTTTCTGGGGCGTGGTGATTTTTTGCTGGTGGCCCTATAGTTGACGAAGAAATGACTTTATATCAAATGACTTTGCAGATTTTGATTTTTTACGTATGACAGTGAGAACTATTTTTGTAAAACATTTCATCCTTCTAAATCGAAATACATGAAGTCTTTGTTTTCTTGAACCATAACTAACCCCAAAACTTCTATAAAAATGTCACTCACAGATTTTAGATAGGGTCCTCAAAGACACGCTAATAATATTTTTCGCAGAAAATGTTGACGGGTTTCTGAATTTTTGAACCGGTTACAATTAAACGATTTATTTAATGTGTATATTATTAAATTAGAGCAAAAGTAAATAGCGTTCGACTATATTTTGGTGCAATAATGCAGAATCCTTAAATATCGCCAGGATTACATTAAAAACGCTAAAAATTTTAATGATGTTCTTGGTTTGAGCCATTGACCTTAATATCAATAAGTAAAAAAGTACTGCGTATAGTCAGACTGGGCAACATTTCTTCATATTTGCACCCTCTTGCACAATTAGAGGTCAACAACACATATTCCTTACACTGACATATTTTCCGAATATTACTAATGTTGAGTGAAGCCCTTCTAATTACTTGTCCAGATTCCCTTCACTGTGGGTTGTGTTGTGATGTTCGGCTTATAATTGTGGTTTATAGATCGACTAAAAAACACACACAAAATTAAGTTTTCGGTCCACTTCATCCCAAAATTTGTATCTGATCATCACCGATCAGCGCTATATTTCCGCCCTCATGTGTGGTAATGGGTTACTAAATGATATCTGAATAAGTAATAAGTACATACGACAATATAAATTGTCATAATCGCGGTTTCTGGAGCGGCCAGAAAAACCGACATAAATTAAGTAATGGGTCAATTTCATCCCCTTAATATTAACCGATATTTACCAAAAACAATAGGGGCCTTCATTGGCCAGAACCCATCCTACATGAAAAATGTCGTAAAGATTGGTCCATAACTGAGGCCGTCATCGTGTTTACAAATTATAATTGGAAGATGGAGTCTATGAGTCTATAGATCCCATCTTAAAATTTAATGGAGGTTTGGAAAAATACTATGAAAAATACTCCCGATGTTTCTGGCGAGTCACTGTAGATGTGTGTGGCCTAGCGTTGTCCTGGTGGAACACGACATCTCCCCTGTTGGCCAATTCTGGTCGTTGCTGGTCAATTGCTATATTCAAACGGTCCAGTAATCCAATTCCAGTACCACCAAATGCATATCAGAACCTTCCTGGCGGTTAGTCCTGGTTTGGCCACCGTTTGAGGTGCTTCACCGCTCTTTGACCACGATCGTTTTCGAACAGGGTTATCGTATGTGATCCATTTCTCATCTCCAGTCACCATCCGTTTAAGAAATGGGTCTATCTCATTCCGTTTGGCTCAGGGTTCGCAAATGGAAAGTCGATCCATCCTATTTTTTCAGTTAGTAAAGCATCTTTTTGAATCCAGTTTTGTTTAAATGGGTTAAAACAGTTTTATGGGTTTTTAGCTCCTGGACGATGTTACGACTGCTAACATGCCGGTCAACTTCGATCATTTCTCCGATTTTATCGACTTTTTCGACGACCGGTCTAATGGATTTATTTTTCCCCAACATAATATTATAAAATTTATTTTCAGCAAAATATTGGCTATTTTGTGTGGAATGTGCCAGAAGGAGTTGACCGGTGGGCCCCAACTTCCAATTTTTATTCAGTTTGAAAGATATATTACGATACACATTTTTGGCTTCGAATCGGTCATTTCACACAATTTTTATTGGTTAAACAAAATTTCAAAATTTTAACCCATTGTTGTGGATGTACCAGAAGAAGGTCCCATATCCCAACTATATATAGGTTATTGTTGAAATATTAGTTTGTGCAAATTTATGTAGAAATCGGATCCTCAGTTTGCAGGATATAAAATTTATTTTTGGCACAATTTTGACAATTTGGACCATAAGAGAAAAATAATATTATGTGCGAAGTTGGACATACAATTTTACTAAAATAGGATTTATAAATATTTAATATTTTGACCCTTTCTGGTGGAGGTATGAGAAGGTGAGGACCAATGGGTACCATCGAACATGTTCTAGGGTTGGAAATGATAACAAGTTTGGTTCAAATCGGACATTCCATTCGCCTAATATTGGATTTTTGACCATTTGGTGGTGGACGTACTATAAGAAGTGGACCGTTATCCTCCATCTTCAAACTTGATTTATGTTTAAAATAAATATTACGCAGTGCAAATTTTTGAATGAAATCGAGGTTAAAAATATAACAATTTTGGAATAATTTTCGCCATGCCTAAAAAATCCCTAACAATTGCTTTTTAACTATCAGCAGCTACTTCTTTGAACATGTTTTCAAGATCAAATGCTTAAATATTTTCATCGGTTGTGAAAGTACTAGGTCGACCGTGACGATCACCGTCATTGCCATCTTATCGACCTTCTTGAAAAATTATTAACTTTATTAGTCCCCATATATAAGTTAATGTACCATTTGCCGCATTTTCCAAAGTATTTAGGATTACCGGTCCATATTTTATAAGAGTCCGTCATCGGCATTTTCGTTTTCAGCACAAGTAAAAACTATGTTAATTTCGAACAGGCCGAACTGTAGATGTAGGCTGCATTATTGATAATTTTCTGCGAATACAACCCCCTAAGTTGCCCATATATATATACATAACATAGATGGGACCATCTGGTATATGTCAAATCTTGGATTTGTATTTCAAATTTTTTGCGAATAAGTTATTCACCCAATAAATGCTCGGAATGCTAAAATAAACCACATTAGTTAGAAATGCTTCGATAACTATCAAAATACCAAAAATTAGGACAGGACCTTTATGTGGGAGTATTTAAACAAAAATTAGTATAAAATGACCTCCATATGGATATCCATATTGAAAATTTTCTGCAAATATTTGTTCCCTTCATTAACCCAGAATATCGAATTCTGTTGGAAACGCGACTAGGCGGGCCTTCATGTATTATTATCGTCTTGAGAAATTATTCATATATTAGCATCCCCTTGATCTCCTCCTTTTAAAAGTACAATAGGTATAAGGCGTCATGTTTCGAACTTTTGTCGGGTTAGAAACTATGTTTCCAAGCTCCATATATCCTACAACATACACTAGAAATTAAAAAAGACCATTCTGAAATTACTATTATCGATTTTTTTTTCTATTCAATAATATTCATTTCATAATTGTGGACCGCAAAGAATATACGTTCGGTGAATGAAAATGCAATCAATTATTTGTAAAAAATCTTCTTCAAAAAATGGCAGCTAAATAAAAATGTACGAATAAAATCATTGTATGCATTATTTTTTTCCGAATTATTGTATTGTATTTGATAACAAATATTATTTCTGTTTCTTATTTTATGTTTCTTAATTCTAAATATTGTATGTTAGGTGGTCATTTACAAGTGAGAGTAGTTATTTTTTGTTTTATGTTTGTATGTTTATTTCTTTTGCATCCCTTCCGTTCTGCATAGTTAATATATATTACATTTAATTTAGGTATAAAGGAATATCATTGAATAGTTGAATACGAGTATTATTCGTTTAAAAACTCATATATTTGTTTGGATTATTTCTTGCAGGCAATCCACTCCTGCTCTCTACCCCACCATCATTACACCTGCTCTGCCGTCTCATCCAATATCATCGAATGTAAATCCATTGCTGAACGTGTTTTTCGAGGCGGTCTTGGCATCAAAAATTGATTTGGACTTGGTCCCACAAATACCGAATTTTGACGTGGTCGACTCTGGGCTATGTAACCTGTAATGGAGAATAGGTGAGAGAAAATATTAATTAGATATAATATATTCAAATTAATTAAAAAAAATATTAAGTAAAAAAAAAACATAATTAGATGATAGAGCATCTCTAGCCATTCAGTAGTGTACGTAACCAGAATAGCTGGGTGTGATTTTTTTTCAATACCAATGCATCTAAAGAAAATCTGTCTCAAATAGGTGAATATTTCTAGAATTTGACACCTTAAGTAGACGTTTTTCATATTTAAATTCCAAATTTAATACAATCTATGAAAAATTTCCTCAATCAATTTGAGACATGTTTTTTCTTCGAACTTCTTCCTTTCTTCGCCTACCCATATATTCCCTTCTCCACTTAATGTCTTAAATGTTTAACATGCCACAAAATCATTCTAAGAATATAACATTTCCGCTGGCATTTGCTTTATAGACATCTCGAAACATAATCATAGCAATACCAACAACAGCAAAAACAACCGGAAACATATTTCAATATTTTATAGAAAATAAAAATGTTCAACACACTTTATTTTATATCCTCAACAGTCGTTAAATCAAAGTCTATAAAAAAAACTCTCCCTCTACTTCTTCAACATAAAATAGTCTTTGTTATATTAAGTCAGTTGGATACAAAAGGATACATTGTAAAACTGATTTAAATATGTTGTGTGTAAACATTTCAAAAAACATTCACATGGAGTGTGGCGAGGATATTATCTATTGTCTTAAAAAGAAGATGTGAATAACGAAGAGATAACATTTTGTATCACATCTAATATGCATAAATGTTAAAGTTTATATCAATAAACAGCAGAGAACAAACATCAGTCATTCAGGACGACCATAAGTCCTTCCACACTACTCTACTCCTAGATATGGGCAGTGTGTAAATACCCAATGGGTAAACCCCGTTAAATTGGATAAATTGGGTAAATACCGAATAAATACCAATTTGAGGGTATTTATTTGTATATCTACTATATTGAATTGTAAATAAAACATCTAACATTCTTTTTCCGGTAGCACCCATATGGTACACCCTTTTGGGTATTTGCCCAAATATTGGCTATAAACTTATTAACTTCCAAACCACGTCACGCAGGCTGCAAAATTTTCCATACCAGTTCCTATATCGATGTAAAACAGTCGGAGTTGTCGACAAATATATACCCCCAGCCTATGGTTTGCGGAGGTCTCGGAATTACACACACACATTTTATTATTAGCTTTTGTGAGGGAGGTACCAGAAGGAGTGGACTACAGGGTTGCCCATATTCGACGGACCCATGTTTTTTTTTAAATCAAAGAAAAAAATAAAAATTTGGCGGTTGGCAATGTTAATCATTTAATTTGTTCCAAGTAGATTTGTTTACATCAATTTTTGAATATAATATCTCTCAAATGGCCGCCTCTGGCGTTGATGACGTATTGTGCCCTTTTTGCTGCATTTTCCATCGCCATTTCCATTTGCCAACATTTCGGCCGGAATAGCGGCTATTTCTTCACGAATGTTGTCCTTGAGCTCTTCTACGGTCCTTGGCTTGTTAACGTAAACCTTCGACTTCAAATATCCCCTCAAGAAGAAGTCAGGCGGCGTCAAATCGGGCGAACGCGGTGGCCAGTCCAAATCACCACTTTTCATCACCAGAACCGCCTCATACGCCATCGACGAATAATTGGCATCACAAAATTGGTCATCATGTTGCGATAACGCTCCTGATTGATGGTAACAGCATGGCCATTTTCATTTTGGAAGAAAAACGGCCCAATGGCCGTTTTCGCACTAACGCCGCACCAAACTGTGACTTTTTCGTCATTAACTTCTTGAATCTCCTGAGGATTTTCAGTGGCGTAAAAACGGCAATTTTGCTTATTTACGGTCCCATTGAATGTGAAATGGGCTTCATCGGACATGATAACTTTGTTCCAAAATTGCTCGTCATCTTCGGCCATTTCGATCGACGGGCCCATTCCAATCGACGAGACTTGTCCGCAGGCAACATTCTTTGCGTCAATTGAATTTTGTACGGGGACAAATGCAAATCAATGCGAATAATCCGTTGTAAAGTGGACCGAGCCATGCCCAACTGCTGAGAACGGCGTTATTGGGATGTTCTTGGGGACCTCTCAACACTGACTCGAACGGCAGCGATATTCTCGGCCGATCGCCTTGGTCGACTTTTATATGGCCTCTTTGGATTAGAAAGAGCCTTACCAGTCGAAAATTGTTCGTATAAACGCTTAATGATGTTCTTAGAAGGCACACTTTTCACATTTTTTAATGTTTTAAAAGCACGTTGAGTTTTCACAATTAACTTCTTCTGTTGAATGTAAATTTCAACTATTTCAGAGCGCTCGCGTGGCGTGTATTGGTTCATGGTAAAAATCTGCTTGGACTGACGCTTCAAACGCGGTATGTCATTAAGCGATGTGACATCTCTGTCAAAAGTTATGGCGTTGCCTGATGGGTCCGTCGAATATAGGCAACCCTGTACTTGGTCTGATCTTCGCGTTGGTAAAGATAGGTTGTGGAAGATTTGGTTCAATATTGTATATATTATTTGATAACAGATGTAGGGTGTAAGATGTTGTATTGGCGATTCAATAGATTAAATACCCGCAAATGGGTATTTGCCCACCCTTTGATTATTTAGCTATGCGTAATGAATTTTTTGCTGGTAACTTTAAAATTCCTGATGACAAAGCTATATATCCTTCTTCTAAGTTTTTAGATAACGTCATCAAAGACAAAAAATCGATAATCGGCCTTTCCTACTTTGACCAGATCCTTGCCCAGACCTTATAACAGTTTATCTACGAATACATACTAATTTATTTCGAATAGATCCGAATCACTACAAGCTTGAAACGGATTTTTCAAATAATAATCCCGATTCTTGTACCAGTTTTAAGTATGAAGTTGACCTTATGTGCATACTGTCACATGGAAAATATTGTCTTCATACATAGATAATTAGATCCGGTGCTAGAGCAATAAAACCGTTTATCGTTTCAAATCGAAGAAAATAGAGTAACAAAACCCTCAGAATGCTTAATAAATACTATGTGTAACCCATAATCGGATGGTCCTTTATATGTCCTTGTAAATTAATCCAGTATGTTTTATTCTCTGAGATTACGGAATAAAAATGTTCAAACACTCAGGTGGAAAAGTGAATTTTGTTCTTAGCATGTTTGTGACAGAACATTTGTTCCATAAGCCGAGCATGAAAAATATTTCCAGGCGCGTCGGTCTATGTTCGACAATATTGTCTTCCAGTTGATCTTTTCACCGAATTCACGGCCTATCTGCGTGAACCATCACTTGGCTAGCTTTTTTGTGCTGGGGCATCCTCATTCATTCTCGCAACATGACGTAGACAACGCAGTCGCTGCAGCTCGATATGAGTGAGTGAGTGTGGTTTGGCGATGATGTTATTAGTTTTGTTTGTGGCGGTACCGATGTATATAAAATCGTTCACTACCTCGAAGCTGCCGTTTTCAAGTTCCACAGTTGGTCCGAGTCTAGAGGACGTCTTGCGCGTTGATACCATCAGTTTGGTCTTCTCGTCCCATTTTGGCAATTCATTCAAAGGTGGCTGTTACCACTCGTAAAGTTCGACCCATTATGACGATGTCGTCGGTGTAGGCGAGCAACATATCCTGTTTTGGTACCATTTCTGTTCACATTTGCGTCTCGTATGACCTTTTCTAGCAGGATGTTAAAAAGATCACACGACAAATTGTCACCTTGTCTGAATCCTCGTTCGGTATTAAAGGGCCTGTTAAAGTTGTCATGTTGTTGACATGGCTTTAAACGCTTCTGAACGGATAGGGCTGTCGAATGCGGTTAATAGTCGAACAATAGGTGGAATGTGTCGTGAGTCTTTTCCAGGATTTGGAGCAGAGTGAAAATCTGGTCAATGGTGGATTTGCCAGGTCTGAAGCCGCATTGGTATTGTACAATAATATCATTGGACGAAATTGATCAAAACATGATCAATTGATCAGCAGAAATCCAGGTGACCTTGTGTATATCGAGATGCTTAAATCTGGTGCTGCTAACTACCATGTTTTTGCTGCCGCGAAGTCAATCAACCGCATGCCGTTGTCGGATGTGTATTCCTGTAAGGCAATAATATCGGTTTTGCGCCTGCGCCTGTACTCTACGACGTGCGCACATTCCAAGTGCAGAAAGTGGAAAAATTTTCCGAATGTGGGCAACTAACCCGACGCCTCAACACATTTTTTATAGTTCTTATGGATGAACTCGCGGAACATATCAGCTCACCATTTCAATGGATAATGAAAGCAGCTATCCCAGGTGGCACCGCGGGGAGGTCAGTATCCACAATTGAGATGAAAGAGGGACCAAGATAAGCCTGGGGTTTGCCATGTTAAAGCCAATCAGAGCCATTGTTTGGTATCTATCATACACTGCCAGAATAACGTGTTAATTTTGGAACCAAATGGATTAAAGTTTTTGAGTGAAAGTGCCCGCCATTAGTAAAAACACTTTTTCGAGCAAAACGCGTTTGATAAATCTGCTTCATCTTCAAGATTTGTTAAGATTTTCACTTGAAATTTAAATGAGGCATTCTTGAGAAGTTTTTGAGATCGAGAAGTCTATTGACAGATTGTGTTAGCACCGTTTGCTACGTCTAATATGGTGAAAATGAGTTAACAATCCTTAAAATTCAGACATTTTTGAGGTACTGTTGCATGGTGACCCTAAAAATTTGACCCATATATATTATTTTCAATACCAAATATCCTAGGAGTATCAGCAATTTATGTGCAACATTTCTAAACTTTATCTTATATATTGCGAGCTCTATCGGAATTTCAACAGACAGGATCAAGAATATGCGGATCTTCGGAAAATATTTTAAGGTATTACAAACGAAATGACAGCATTCAGTGATGGCTAACATGAGCACTATTAATCCGATGAAGTAAAAATTTACATTTAGCTGGATAATTTTAATTTTAGCTTAATTT